TCAAAGCTACGTTGTAGCAGAGCGTCCACCAAATCTAGTATGTTTGGCTAGCGGGAAAAATGAAATTTGATGTATTGTCTCTCTACAGATTACTTCAGCTACATATAAAGCTGGAGGACTTAAAATTGACAAAGTGGCAACATTAAAAATGTCATCAAAATTATGGGCTTCACTTGCGTTTATTTGTTCATTAACTGTCTATTGTCGGGTAACAATTCCATAAAATCTAACAGATAAATCACCATACCATATCATTTTGATGACCTCCGTAGCTGAGTGGTTAAGGTGTCGCCATCTCTAAGGGCCCCGGTTCAATTCCCGGACCCACCATGTTCAAAAAGGACTTTTCTGTATTGTCTCGGGTCTAGGTGTAGTGGTACCTTTGCATGTGTATCATGAGAAACTCGAGAAACAATTTGAATATTTCAAATGTCTCTTGTCTCCGGTCTAAAATGAGATATCGAAGGGGGGGGGGGGAGACGACACCCTACAAAAGTGACGTTTGGGTATAGACAAAACGTCGTCGTCTATTTGTGCAGATTTTGAATGTTGTGTCGGTAATAATTATTTACAAAATTCAAGTCGGCAAAAAATCTTATACCTATTGTAAAAGTTTTATTTATGTAATAAAATAAAAGTGAAACGAGAAAGTTAAATGGGCAATTGGAAGCAATATCCTAGTAATTCCATTTACATGTTAAACATTCAATGTACTTTCTCAAAGTTATAAAAGTCACTATAAAACCTTTTAAGCACTGTAGAGCGGTTCCTTCATTACTCAGTCCAAAGCGGTAACCCTGAAAATACTCGTGGCCAAATTTTTCACGTCAAGTCTAACCTAACGGTAATGAAAATTACCTTTCGTAACATTAACCCGAATGCTGTTGGGGTACTGTAATATAACATTAACCTGATGAGATTATATGGAGGAAATTTTATATAAAAATTACTGAGAATTGATTTTTATGTACCTACGAATTGATTATTGCAAATATATATTACAAAATACATAAATCGGTGATGTAAATAGTAAAAAAAATATATTTGATCAATTTTGTATTGTCATTGCTATATTTTATTTATCCATCCATACCCAGGACCCAATGAAGACATCTATACTTTACTTACCTTATTTATGTCTATACCTTATAAGACGCAGCTAATTGACTCAGAAGACTGAATGTGGACTTCTAATAACTATTTTAATAAGAATTATGTGTATTGGCCTGTGTAATCGACCGACATGCGATTAAATAATAATTTATTATAATATATTTATGTTTAGCTCTAGTATCGTAGAGTCGTAAGTTGCGTTCAAGTGTGTGCTCATCGGGGAAACTTAGCAGCCGTTGCGTGACCTGTCTACACTGAAGTATGTAGGGTAACATAGTTAATAATATTCGCAACGAGTAGAAAGTAATTACGGGCCTCTTTAATCTTCTCTTTAATAGAGTTCCGTATCCCGTGATTAGTGTAGACACGTACTAACAACAAGAATACTCCATAGATATATCTGCGCTTAATGACAAAGAGGAAACGAGGTAACAACAGCAGTCCGGTCAATGAGACAGATAAGGACAGAATATGGCGTAAGGTACGAAATAGAATATATAAACTACATACAAACCAATCTATATCAGTATTATAAAGGGGAATGTTATATGTTTATCATATGTGTATTTTAACTAGCAAAATAAATATTTAGGAAATTATGTGATAAAAGCAAATGGGTTAATGGTGGATCAAGTGTTTCTAGTCTTTCCTATTAGTAGAGTTAATTTTATGGTAATATTACAATCAATATTATTAATTATAAGTATTCAATTTTCATCAATTAATGTACGTCAGTATGTTGAGTTTATATGAAATTTGTTTTATATTTTCGTATCATACAATTAATTAATGACAGGATTAATAATTAAGAACTGGACATTTTAAATGATGATCTTTTGATGATACATCCGCTAAATTTTCCCAATAAAGTTAGAGGTGTCTTTAAATATATGTATATCATACATATTGAAGAATTTACAGATTTTTGATATATAATAAAAAAAGTTTTATGTTCCATTTTAAGAGTGTTCCGGCTCAAGCAGCCCATAATAGTACAAATCGTAGGTTGCGCAAAAGGGAACAGATTGAGGGTAGGGAAACGTTTCCGGGAACAAGAGGAGGTTACAAAAAGAGTCGTATTGAGAATATAGACCTTATTTTACTGTGTATATAGACTTCACTGTGGGTAATAGATAGGCGACGACCTTCTAGGCTAAAATGAACGACTTTTGTTCGCAAATTGAATATCGCAATTGGTTTAAATAAACTAGTTGTAGTTACCTACATGTTGCGATCTAGTTCATTTTGTAATTAGATAGTTTCGTTGAAAATAATCATTATTATGCATATTTTCTATACATCTATACACCATACTTCTAAAGATTTGATTGTTTGTTTGTATGCATTGAATAGGCTCCGACACTAATGCATCGATTTAAAAAACTTTTTCACATCATACGCGTTTGACAAATGCTATAATATACGCGGGACTGATGCTATAGAGTTTGTTGTTTTACTATTTTAATTTTAATTTGTTTAATTCTTTAAATTATATTAAAGTCACGATCGATAAGTAAACCAAATATTATCAACACTTGCCCAATAATGTCCCCATTGTTGGGGCTTAGGCCTTTCCCTACGGATGAAATCCAATCAGATCGAATAGTGAGAATCAGAAGTGAAACCAAAATGTTATAATTTTTCATTTAGCATCCATTTTCCAAAACGTTCCAATATTTGACAAGGTCATTAACTTTACAGTATCATTAATAATCGTCTGACTCGCAAGTGCAATAGGTATTCAATTACGGGAACAAAAGATACGGAGAAGATAACGAAGTGTTTTCAAGGTTCTGGCGAGTGATCGGCTCTACAAACAAGGAGTTCCGAGTGACGAGGCTTGTTTTCGGGTGACAAACACAATGACTTTCGTAAGCCCCTGAATGACACCTTCATTATAGCCGGTGACATTTCTCAAATACTCAGCGAATTGTTATGCGGTGTGGAGTGAGTTAAAAGCGGTCGAAAACCTTTGGGGGCTTCTCAGCTTGGGATAAAGTTTGTTATATTTTGGTACATGAGTGTTCGCCGTGAGGTGTCGCTCTGAAGTACGTGGTATTTCTATAAAAAAATACAACGAACTGAAAAATAAAAAAGTACTTACTATGATCAAAAGAATTGTCAAAAGTCCTTAGTGCATGAGGTTTTACCTTATTGCAGAAAGTTAGATTACTTTGTTTTTGCTTTTTAATGTTAAAGAAATCTCGTTAAATCGGAATAGAATATTTCTTTTCTATCATCTTGAGTCATATGAAAATTTACACATGTAATGGAAATGTAAAAACTTTTGTGTTTTCAGTTATTTAAAGCTTACATCTTCTTAATTTATAAAAAAAAAACATTCTTTATCGACTTTGATATATCAACATAAATTTGGCCGATTCCTTATTTATTTCCTTACTTAATTTTCAGCTTTAGTTTTTTATCTTACGCAATTCACCGTCGAAGGGTGCATCCCGGGCTAGTGATTATTCCATATTAAACGTAATTAATATAATTAGTTTTTATCATAAACATGTTTTATATAAATGATGCGAATTCCATCGCTTCTCCCTTATAATGTGTAACCCTAACGCTTCACCGTACGCAGTCAAGTGTTATGAAAAGTACCGGGATCTCCCCCCAGTTTGTTCTTAGTCAAGAATGAGGTCAGCGCAGGAAGCCTTAAATAGTCGATGTGTTAAGAAATGTTGCTTTATATAAGACAGCGACTTCGTCCGCGTTTTCCATTATTTCTTCGCTCCTAATAGTTGCAGCGTGATGTCATATAGCCTAAATCCTTCCTCGATAAATGGTCTATTCAACACAAAAAGAATTTTTCAATTCGAACTAGTAGTTCCTGAGATTAGCGCGTTCAAACAAACAAACAAACTCTTCATCTTTATAATATTAGTATAGATATATTTATGTATAAAGCTAACCCAACGCTAAGGTCATTTAAATTAAAATAATGAAGTGGTTAGTAAACTCTATTACTATTGTGAGTGTCAATACTATCCAAAAAGAAATGTTTTTTGTTAAGGTTTAATGTATGTGTATTTGTAAGTTTCTTTATTCCTTCATACGACCTCCGTAGCCGAGTTCGCACGCCGGTTTCAAGGTGTCGCCATCTCTGAGGTCCCGGGTTCGATTCCCGGTCGGGTCAATGTAGAAAATGAACTTTTCTATATTGACTCTGGTCTGGGTGTTGTGGTACCTTCGTTGTCTCAGATACTCCATAATACGGGGGTTTTAGCTACTCATCTTGGAATCTGAGCAATGTATGTAATATTGTTTAATATTTATTATTATTATTTATTTAAAATTTTGAAATACTCAACGAATAGGAATGTATGGGGTTTCTTTATAAAAGTTAATATTTTTAAATATTCAATATTGCGGTTGTATGACGTCATTTAAAAACAAATATTTTTTGTCAATAATTCTAGCAATATTGATTGATTGATGAGTACCTACATAGCAAAAATGTGTAACTTGTATTCGTAATTAATTGTTCACTTAAATAATAATAAAATAATAGGTAATAGAAAATTTTAAAACAAACCGGTTCCATAATCGAACAAAGAAATAATGCACAGAAATCTCCATTATGAAATAAAAACAGATGAAATTATACTACAGTAAAAGTCTTTAAAGCTTTGAAGATTTATTATTGAACATATTTCATAATGTAAGCAAAGTATTTAGTGTTTACAAAGCGACCTACGCAACACCGCGCACACTCGGGTGAAAATAATGATGTTTGTAACCGTAATTAAAATTTAGAATGAGTTATAAATAAAACAAGATTATTTTTACACCAACAAAATTAAAATATAATATTTTGTTCGTATTACAAAAAAGAAAAGGTTTTTTAAAAATCGAATCTAAAAAGAGTTAACACTTACTTGTTATCTGCTTCAAAGCAGTTACAGCTGACTTCAATGTATTCAACGTACGTCGCCTCAAATTCTTTTTATCCGAGAAGTTTTCCATATCTATGTTCACCGACATCGTATTTCGAACTTTGTTTTCACTAACATAAAGTCTTGTATTATAATTGTTGTTAAGAATAGCCTGTTGAGCACCTATTGTTCGGGAAGCCAGGAATATACTGCGTGTAAATGCATATCAGTAACAGCAAGTCCTTGTACGAAAATCAGAAATCTCCGTATGAAACAGGGATTTGCGTAGAGACGGTCTGTTGAATTTACTGCAATTTTAATGGAATTCAATACTAATAGGTTTCAATTTGACTGAATGTTTTTTTTTAAATATACTACCAAATAACTTCTATATTTTTATGTTTCACTTATAAGAGCTCGGCAAAAATATGATAACGTATATGAAAATTATTTAAAATAAAATCATAATTTATTTTTAGGGTTCCCCGAAATGGCAATTGGTAAAAACGGTAAACTATTACTAAGACACCGCTGCCTGCTCGTCTGTCATACAGCGGTGTCTTAGTAATAGTTTATCATTTTTAAATTGGTTGAAATATACACAAACGATGTAATTCTGTTGGCGCTATGACAAAAAATAATATAATTATAATTATTTAAGGTGACCGCCTATACAATAGACACGATTTTTTGCCGTTTTTATATAATCTGGTACAGATCCCCTCGTGCGTAAATCCGACTCGCATTTGGTTGGTTTTTTTCACACTTCAATTGTATAACCTTTTATACAGTTTCAGGAAATCGTATATAACTAATCATAAATTTAATCTAAAAAAATCATAGGAATAACAATCATTAAAAACATAAACGTTTAGCAACCACTGCAATAAGTGTTTTTTTTATAATATCTAAATTGCTATATGTGTTGATACCCAAAAGAAAGAAAGAATGATCTGTCTTAATATATTTAATGTCTCCAATTATGTATTTTGGAGGATTCAAAAGTGCCCAATTTAAATAATTTTATTTGAATAAAGATATTATGACTTTGGCTTGAAGTAACTCTATACTATATATAGTTGGCTATATCTACCGTATAAAAAATGATCTCATACAGTTTATGATATATTCGTTTGTACTTAATGTAGTCTCTTTAACTTTTTAGTCTCACCACGTTAACACCTGACGATGTTCCTGATATATTTCTATGATGTTCTGTTAAACGTGAAGTAAACAAATTCTATTCCCGTATGAGCAGCTGTAACATGCCCGCCAGGTTCATTACCAATGTGCCCTTATCTATCTTTTATACAATAGCAATAAAACGATTAGATTATACTTTTTTAAATATAGCCCTTAAAGATTTTATAAAAAGTGATTTAATACGAGCTGTGTTCAAGAAAATATGAGATACTAGCTCGGAAATAATTATAGGGATGGATCTTGCCAGATCAATTTTGCAATCATAATGCTAGGTCTTGCTATGCCAAAGTGGATTTTTCAGCGTTTTTCATTAAGAATATTTTTTATTGATTAAATAAAATTGATTTGAGGTATCATTTAATATTTTACTTATAACTTCAATAACTTACAAACAGATCCAAGGTATTAACATCTTCAGGTTAGGTTCAATTCCCGGATGGATCAATATAGAAAATGAATTTTTGTATATCCTATCTCTAGATAGTCTAGATTTTGCGGTACCATCGTTATTTGATAACTATTCGAGGTAAGGCATCTGCCTTTTTTTTACATTGGGATTTATATATGTGGACGTATTTATAGGCTAAAATTACATTTATATAATCAATAATGATTTGACTATATAATCAAATAACTAATATCCTATTAATATTATAAATGTGAAAATTTCTTTATTCGGATGTTTGTTCGGTAATCGCGCCGAAACTACTGAACGGATTTCGATGAAATTTGGTATACAGATAGGGTATTAGGTGACTTAGATAATAGGATACTTTTTATCCAACTAAATATTTCCAAAGGGACCATGCGGGCGAAGCCACTGGCGAAAGCTAATAAAAAAATACATTTATTCTTCAGATAGACTTGTACAGTGCTATTAAAATCAAGGTTTAGCGTCAGAGTAAAATAACGCTAAAATTGCAATTTCAGTATAAGTTCGAATTCATATTATATTGTATAGGTATAATAATATAATATATTTTAAAGGTATAATATTCTTCATTGGATTCCCATTCAATATTGAAGTTATCTTTTTATTATAATATGGTTCATATTTGCTTTGCATATAATCACGTTACATTGAAATCTCAAAGGGCCGTAGATTTAAATATTGTATTTTGTGGTATGAAGCTTATATAAGGTTATTTTTCTTTCCTATATGTCACATTGATAACCTCTCTTTTAACTGTCTTCGAAAAAGCAAAATTTTAATTTCGATAGACTGATTTTTATATTTATGGCCCACGATATCTTCTTCAGTAAAAGACAGATCCTGATGACCCTTTTCATTGAAAGTGTGTATTCTCGATTGGGTCGAACTAAAATTTAATCGAAATCAAATCAGTAATTTCTCGCTATTTCGCACGCATTAATGATAACCTATATAAACCACGTATGATTTAAGTTCCTGTAGGTGAGAGTTATTAAACTCCATCCGGTAGTTATAGAGCCTTTTCAATACAAGTAAACAATTAAATCATTAGTATAGTAACTGGATGAACTATGTATATCGCCAAAATTTCAGTTGATTATCATAAAAAACAAATTCATATGCTACATTACAACCCGAAAATTCAGACAATATCGTTTCCATTAATAGACGATTCCATAAAAAAAGTTATAAAAGTACAGAATTCATGTGGAATGGGTTGTAAATATGTAATTAATCCTCATGTCTATTTGCAAACGAATGTTTGTAATTAAATTTGACGTAACGACAATGTTTGAATACAGACTGACGTTTACAAAGTTGTAAAATTATGTATATATACACACTTAAATATTAGAGGAACTGTTAGACTTTTTTGTTTGTCTATGCTAATATTATGAAGAAATAGTCTCTTATGTTGTTTGTAGGATTCGGGAAGCTATATCATATGCAGATGACATTGGTTACAATTTACGCGGGTGAAGTCGCGGGAAAATAGCTAGTAATGGATAAACTTTAAATCTAAACAATCAATTAACGATAAAGTTTAATAGCTATTTTTCTAATGACATATTTATATCAAAATTAATTACAATGATTAAACACCTTGTGCACATAAAACATTAATATTATTACTCATTATGTCTATAAAAATGAATTATAAAGCTTACTAAATATATCTAATTATCTTAATTTATTTAAAAAAAATGGATTTGTATTATTTCTTTGGCTTTATTAATAAGCATTAGTCCTATGAGACCGAGCCAGTAAAATCGGCACTTAATTTAATTCGTACATTAACTGAAACTGATGTTAACTGTCCTATAGCCGTATACGAAGACACATTTCCGGACTACGTTGTGTTTACACTGTAGTTTAGTACATGACTGTTGAGTGGACGTACTTTACGTAGTGTGTTACGCGTTAGTCCCGTTAATGTTTGGGCATTTAACCCCAACGGTATAATCGTGCGGCTTACTCTGTCCGATCGGAAGTACGGGCTTTTTTCAACTAAGCTAAAATATAACTTCAATATTGAATGGGAACCTAATGTAGAATATTATACCTATAAAATATAAATTAATATACCTATATATTATAATAGATATTATAAACCCTAACAGTGCAAACAAAATAAAAATAAATAAAAAAAAAAATTACGCTGATACTGCATTTAATATTAGTCAAAATTCGTATTATTAAACAGAGACTTGGCAAAGGTAAACCTAGTATATAATATTTACTCTTAGAAGATAGTAGGTAGAAGGTATATTATTCTCTGTATAATATTGTATAAAGTCGGACTTATACTGAAATTGCAATTTTAGCGTAATTTTACTCTGACGCTAAACCTTGATTATTAATAGCACTGTACAAGTCTATCTGAAGAATAAATTTAAATTTAATTTTTTATTAGCTTTCGCCAGTGGCTTCGCCTGCATGGTCCCTTTGGAAATATTTAGTTGGATAAAAAATATCCTATTATCTAAGTCACATTAACTGAAACTGATGTTAACTGTCCTATAGCCGTATACGAAGACACATTTCCGGACTACGTTGTGTTTACACTGTAGTTTAGTACATGACTGTTGAGTGGACGTACTTTACGTAGTGTGTTACGCGTTAGTCCCGTTAATGTTTGGGCATTTAACCCCAACGGTATAATCGTGCGGCTTACTCTGTCCGATCGGAAGTACGGGCTTTTGTCAACTAAGCCCTGCGCTATTTTGAACACTGCCGATTGCTACTAAGCTTGGTTTTGCGTCGATAATATATATTATTAAATTGGGACGTTGTTGTGATATGAAGAGGACGTTAATCAAACCCTTTTACGTAATCAAAACCTGTCGTTTCGTTAGATAAAATTAGATTGCGCTTAAAATTAATTAATTGAAATCATGATGATATTTAGATATATATTTGCTGTACAATCAAAATGTGGAACAGTGTCCCACCCTACGTGTTACCGATTAGATACAACCTTGCGTCTTTCAAAACAGGTGTGAAGAGGCTCTTTAGCAGCCCGGCAAGATAGTGATGGCTGCCTGGAGTAGCTTTGACTTCTGATAGCTGTGACTATTATTGGACCGTAATATCAGTTCCCATCAGGTATATTGCAGCCACTTTATCGTGGCATAATAAAAAAAAAATGGAAATGGTAATGGATCTATTGGTAAGTGTTTTAAATTATAAGATCATAGTACAAATTGAAGTCAATATGCGGCATAACTTTACTCGTATAACCTTATTCATTTTGACTTCTTTGGTTGTGTTTTCAGTCAAAACCAACAATCAAAGATTGTATTAAAGGTTTTGTATAAATAAATAAAGTCTAAATAAGCTGTAATAAAAAAATGATGACCATTGATTAGCCTAGTGGTTCGCACTTTGTTTTCAAGGTTTCGTTGTTTCTGAGATCCCGGGTTCAATCCCGGTCGGGTCAATGTAGAAAATAACTTCTTCTAGATTGTGTCGAG